GCTTGCTTCCTGGGGCTCCGGGGGCCCCCTGCCTGGTTTCAGGGAAGCCAACACAGCCCCGCCTCCGCAGACTCTCCAGAGCCCAGACAGCGTCACCAGCCCCCACCTCTTGCCTGCGAGCCCAGCACCAACACGGAACCACACGTTTGCCGCGCGCCGGAAGTGGTTGTGCGTGGGGGGGGGCGTTCTCCGCTTGCGCATGCGCAACTTCGCAGAGCGCGGTTGAGGTTCCTGGGCCGTTGGGCTTGACCGGCAGCTGGGAGCGGGTGCTTCTTCATTGGCTGCCCTTTACTGCCGCCCTACTAAGTGCAGCCCCGCATCGCAGCTGGGCTGCCTTTGAAGGTCAAGAGCTTTGCTTCTGAAGTGGGAGTAACCCCGAGGCAGGCAGTACTCAGGGGCTACAGGAAACCGCTCCAAAAACTACAGGGCGCACCTTGTAACAGTGTTACCCGGGTTTAAACTTTAGCGTCGGAGCTCCTGTTGATCACACATTTCATACAACTGAAAGTTTCTAGAACCTCATTCATTATCCGTGCTCTGCCCAAGACTTCTATATTCCTCAATTCCAAGCCAAGCGTTCCATATTAAAGGAACGTCAGTCCTGCCTAGGGTTTGTTGATTCCGTCTATTCTTACACTTCTCTATGTCCTAGTTGTAGCCACCAGGCAGGGATAAAATAAAATCAGTATTCTCAAGTCTATACCGGGCGCCTTTAGTCCCAGCACTCCGGAGGCAGAGGCAGTTGAGTTCAAGACCAGCATGGTCTACAGAGCCAGCCAGTTCCAGGACAGCCTCCAAAGCCACAGAGAAACCGTCTCGGAACCGCCCCCCCCACACACACCAAAAAAAAAAAAAAAAAAAAAAAGCATTCTAAGCGTGATTCGCTAACTCAGCAGACAGCTCACACACACCAAAAAAAAAAAAAGCATTCTAAGCGTGATTCGCTAACTCAGCAGACAGCTAAAAGCACCTGAGGTATAACCCCAAACAAGGAAACAGCTGTCAACAATACCAAAGGAATACACAAAACTTTAAGCAAATAATGTTTACTTTTTATATTAATGATACACTTAATATATACGTGATTCAAGATACAAAATTCATTTACAAGAGTTCACACTTGAATCTATACACATTCCTAGAGAACATCAATGCAAAGTTCTTTATTACACTGACCACAAATATTCTGTAATCTTGTTATTTAGCAAACATCAAAACAACATTTTACTTTCCATCTTCTAGTTTTAAGTGCCCTCAAGTGATAGGCACTGTGTAACAGGAAAGTACATTGCAATGCCTACAGAATCTGCTCTGCAGAATCACAGTGTTTACTCAGAAATTCATGGAGTGAAGAAGTGAAAGGCTTGCATCCTTCATGAATATGTTCAAGAACTTGTCAATATCTAAGGTCTATAAAATGTTAATTATAACAGACAAGAGCAGAAAATGACTGCTGGAAAAGAACAAAACAAAAAACCTTAAGAGACTGCATGGTTTAAGCAATTTAGAAACACCAACAGACAAGACTTACAACAACACAAATGTTCAAGTCAAATGATGTATAATTTTTCCCTTAGTCACTACAGTAACAGTCTCTTCAGAATTTACCCTCAACACATAAATTTTGTGAATCCAACAGTTTACTATATAACAGAGCTAGCTGACTGACAGATTAATTCTAAAGTATTAACTCACATATCCAATTTTAATACAAATGAACAAGACTGTCCCAAGGATGATAGTGATCTGTAAACAACTAGAGAGACGACTGAGAGCACTTGGATAGGGATTGTTACATGAAAATTGTGCTTCAATCTCTTGAGAGCTAAGAAATATAACTCTATAATCTCTATAGTGTTACAATTCTATAACATTTCAGTTACAGACAAGCACATTTTTTAAAAAAAAAGTGTTCCATACTACTAGTAAGTCAAGTATAGTTTCTGCTATGATTTCAACAAGTGCATTTCTGACTAACAATGTAGACAATAGTTTCACCATTATTTTTAGGGTAAAGAAGATTAGACAACTTTAAAAATTTTTTACTTGATTAAATTAACCTTTAGCGATACTTTGAACAAGGCTAATTAACAGTCTTAAAGAGGAAACTGCTCAGAAAATAACAAGTTCTGTGAAATTATACTAATCTTTACAACACTGTAAAATAAATAACTTCTAACTACTTCATGTGATTCAGTGACAAATGCAACTACTACTTATATTGGTGCTACAAGTGAGGGTAACTTGAGTGGGGAAGTTACTTCCCTTGTAATCTCTACTAAGAATATGTTAGGACACTTAATCTGCATTTCTTCGTATGTAAGACCTTTCAGCCTGAATTGAAAGAATCCCAGAGCATACAGGACTCCAGTTGAAGATCAAGGCTTATTAAAATTAAAGGCATTAAAAAGAGAACTGGGGTTAAATTTTTGAAAACATACAGTGGTTCAAAAATGTTTACTGGGGAAATTTTAAACATCATTTGACATTTTCTAACTTCTTTTTGCTAATTGTAATGTCTTGAACCAGAGACTAGTGGAGATTCATGACAGTTTTAAATGAGGAAAACAATGACAACAAAAAGTGATAAGGGATTGGGGATTTATGGTCTACTCAAGAGTTCAGCGGTAGAGTGATTGCCTAGCAAGTGCAAGTCCCTGGGTTCAGTCCTCAGCTCCCAGAAAAAAAGAAAAAACAAACAAAAACAAAACAAAACAAAACAAAAAACAGTGATAATACACAAAACATAAAAATTTAAATACCTTGTACTGAAGACCTATAACAACTAGCCATAATCCCTTTCTTTAATTTGAAAGTGATGTAACTCAGTCCATTAATTTTCCATTTCGTAAGTCTGCGAGAAAAATAAACCCTGAAATCTGAAATTAGTGATATTGCCACAAACAATATATCTAAAAAGATGTTTGTCTTAGGAGACAGACTAGAATTGTCCACTTAAAGGAAAAATATTTGCAATTTGTAGACTGTTCTGTGACCAAATTCAGAGTCAGTCTGTGAGCAAATCTGTACAATGCAATGTACTTTAAATTGTTTTTAAGACTCCAAATCTACTGTCACAATATGTGACACAACACAATGCAAACCACTGCATTGAGTAGTCTGCTAAGGCAAAACCAAAATTTAAAGCCACAGAAAGAAATAAAGATATCTCAAAATTGTGAAATGGTGTTACAGTTCTGAATAATTAACACTGTTGTGTAAAAATGGAATTCTATACTGATTTTTCACTTAAGAAAACATAGTTACAGAATTCCAATGGTACTTCAATGGTACCACATTAGTCATATTTAATACATTTAAGCTTACCTAATCATATGTTCTTCTGTATCATTCCTTTCTTATAAGCAGGCAATTATCCCATCCACACATAAATCATACTCCATTAAATACAAAGCATATTGAAAATTAACTTCTTGTGCTCAGCACTCAGGAAAATGGGATTAAGTATGGGTTTATGTTTGGAAGGCCTAGCCTAAGGACGATGAATCAATTTTTTATTTTCATTACATTAAGTGGCCCAGTATTCATGAAAAGACTTAGAGTTGACTTATGTGTACAACATCAGTACATAAGCATCCAAAAGAATGTGGGGAAAGGCTTAGTTTTCTCAGCAATTCGTATTTTATTCAACTGCAAAGTTACCAGCTTTGTAACTGGGACAGAAGTTTACCTACTATGCTTTAAAGATTTAGGTGTCAGTCTTTTGCCTGCATATATGTCTATGCGTCAACTGCATGCAGCGTTCACAAAGGCCAGAAGGGGTTGTCAGATGCCCTAGAACTGAAGGTTGTCTCGAGCAGCCATGTGGGTGTTAGGAATGAAACCCAGGTTTTCTTTAAGAGGCCTCTTGGTCAGGCATGATGGTGTATGACTTTAATCCTAGCCCTTAGGAGGCAGAGGTAGAACGATCTCTGTGAGTTCAAGGCCAGCTTAGGACAGCCAGTACTACATAGTCTGTCTCAAAAACAAACAAACAAAAAGAGGTGCTCTTAACTGCTGAGCCATCTCACCAGATCCTAGTTTCAACATATGATCTACTACCTGCTTAATGTTGCTTAACCAACATTACAGTTTGTGAACATTTTTTTTGAAGGATTTCTCAGAAAAAAACCACACTAATTCATGTTAATATATTTCAAGAAAAAGATAAGAGCATAATTGTAAAGTGTTATGAAAAGCTGGCTGCTTTATTAACAATGGGGAGGCAAATGAAATAATTTTAGAAGTGGTAGAATTGACTTTTTTTTTTGGTAGAATTGACTTGAACGGACTTTTTCTCCTTAAAACAAATTTAATGTTAATAAGAGAGGTTTGGTTTTTTGAAGAATGGAGTAGAAAGGTGCCTTGCAGTTTATACTTTACAATGCAGAAATAGCAACTCTTTTCAATGACAATACACAAGTGTGTTTAAAAATCCTTTATATTCATTCATGCAAATAACACATGAACTAAAGATATACTACGCTGCAATATTCCAAACATTCACAAACTGGCACTGAACATATTTTCTATAATGTTACTGTCCCCAACAAGTCTTTCTGTTATAATTTTGGAGCCAGGGTCTCCTGCAGCCCATGCTCTGTCTCTGAACTTACTATGCAGCAGAAGCTGGCCTTGAACTCTTAATTCACCTACTTCCTTTTTTTAAGAACTGGGATTACATGCCAGGAGTTGGTGGTGCACGCCTTTAGTCCCAGCACTCGGGAGGCAGAGGCTAGAAGATCTCTGTGAGTTCGAGACCAGCCTGGTCTACAAGAGCTAGTTCCAGGACAGCCTCCAAAGCCACAGAGAAACCCTGTCTCGAAAAACCAAAAAA